GAAGCTCAAGGTCGCCCATCGAGCTATGGAGAGGTGTTATGCTCGGGGGTTTCTATGCGTAATAAAATTAAAAATGAGGATATCCGCAGTAGAACCCGAGTACCCGCCAACGCTCAATTGATTAGTAAGCTGGAGTGGCAATGGGCCCTCCATATAGCTTGACGAACCGTTCCATCTTAGTCCTCACGGGTAACAACGCATTTGCCATTTTGATTCGTAATCGAGGATAGATGTAGATGTCTATGGGCCACAGCAACCACTTACCATCAGGTGGACTGTGTGCTCGCTGTCACCTTTATTCTATTTAAAAAAAAACGATGGGGAATAAAGGTTCTCGAGTGGCAGCCTCGTACCGATAGGCGTAGTGTGAAAGCATAAGTCATGCAGGAAGTCGATGGATTCAGGTGGTTCAAGACCGAGCTTTGTGGCATTCCTTGGTGAAGGCCTATGTTCAGCAGTGGACTTGTGAAGGGCCGTAATGATGAATGATCATGACTGGTTACGAACGAGCGCACTCACGGCTCAGCTGATGTTGCGGTTAATGCACCGGCACCTTAGAACCAGTTCCATCCCTGCTTGACCGTCTTCAACAAAGAGTGGCTGTAATCGACGTGAAGAAATCTTACCGATCTGATCCATTGGCCTTGTGAATTCGTTGCATTCCGACGTTTGCATTAATTCAAGCAACTAAATTCCACCATGTGACCATGTGAGCCCTGTGATCGTTGGTCTCGTCTTCTTGAAATAAGTTGCGTTGTTGCCCCTGAGGACCAAGATGGAGTTCCTCGTTACCAGTAATGGTAGTCGATTTTCGACAATGAACTTACGAAACCCAGAACATTACACTGGTACAATCTGCGAGGCCTAAGCTGAGCTTTGCATTTGTGTGAGTGCACATAGATAGAGTTGGTGTGACGTCGGCCTGCGCGATGCATCCTTTACTTGGTTTAAATCGGTTTATACTGCTTTTTGGCAATCAGCCTAAGGCGCGGTGCGTCCCTCGCGTGACGCAACTTTGCCGCGCACCTTTGCCGCGCACCTTTGCCGCGCACCTTTGACACCTGACCTCTTGTACTGGTAGCAGAGGGACGTGTTTTTTCTTAATATTTAATTTTTGTGTTCGATTTATAAGTGAAATGGCTGCCAACAGAAATTACATAGGCTGCACTAAAAGTATCGGGAACGGAATATTTCCACTGTTCCTGTCACATTAAAATCTTTTTAATTGAAAACCCCTTGGTTTTAAAAATCGAATACCATTTATTTATTTAAAAAAGGATTCTCGGTCTTGTCGCAAGGTTTTGTCAAACTTGTTTAGTCGTTGAGAAAATGGAATTGACTCGATAAAATTCAAGAGCGATGATTTATTATGACTTTCGAAGTGGTTTAACACAAAAACAGTGTGTTGACTGGATGATTTCTGCATTTGGTGATGAAGCCCCATCCAAAACCACAATTTATCGCTCGTTTGCTGAATTTCAAAATGGACGTGTCAAGCTCAGTGATGATCCCCTACAAGGTCGTCCAAAAACTGTAGTCACCCAAGAAAACGTTGATGCTGTGCGTAAGGCTGATTGAGGAAGATCGACATGTGACATACTTCGAAATTCAGGCAACTTTAGACATTGGCATTAGTCAAATACAAATAATCTTGCATGAACAATTAGGTGTAAAAAAGTTGTTTTCCCGATGGATACCGCATTCCCTCTGTGAAGAGCAAAAAGCGGCTCGCATTACTTGGTGCGTCAGAACTCTCGAAAGATTCCACGCAGGATCCTCAAATGCTGTATACAACATCGTATCAGGTGACGAATCCTGGATATACGCGTACGAACCCGAAACAAAAAACCAGTCACGAGTTTGGGTGTTCGAAAATGAGTTAAAGCCAACAAAAATTGTTCGTTCACGGAGTGTTGCAAAAAAATGGTGGCCACGTTTGTCTCCAAAATCGGCCATGTTACGACTATTCCTCTTGAGGGACAAAGAACGGTTAATGCAGAATGGTATGCTAGCATTTGTTTGCCATAGGTCGTTTCTGAACTCCGTAAAGAGAACTGCAACCGCCGCATCATCCTCCATCACGACAATGCGAGTTCTCACACCGCACACAGAACAGAAGAGTTTTTAGAGCAAGAAAACATAGAATTATTAGACTATCCGCCGTACAGCCCCGACCTAAGCCCTAATGATTTCTATACTTTCCCTAAAAGAAAGAATAAATTGCGTGGACAGAGATTTTCATCACCTGAAGAAGCTGTGGACGCCTACAAAACGGCCATTTTGGAGACCCCAACTTCCAAATGGAATGGTTGCTTCAATGATTGGTTCCATCGTATGGAAAAATGTGTCAAATTTCGCGGAGAATACTTCGAAAAGCAATAAATAAATTTTTAAATAGTAATGTTGTGTCACTTCCTTGATTCCCGAAATTTTCAGTATCGCCCTCGTAACGAAGAATACGAAAACCTATAAATAACCAAGTAAAATAAATTTGGTGTAATTTAAATACTTATTTTAAAGACGTGAACAATAAAGACATGTTAAGTGCCACTACAAATTGGTAGCGACATCGACGGGAATTCAGCTGTCCACTGCCAAAAGAGTTTTATTAGAAGGCGGAAGCAAATATATATGTCAGAAAAAGACCAGATGCAGGAAAATATCGTTATCCTTGACGATTTTGATAAAGCTGTAATCCGAAGGACTATTCATAATTTTCATATTACTGATAAAGAGGTGCCAACTATGAAGCGAATATATGAAAGGTTGAAGACAGAAATAGGACTATCCAGGTTCAATTTGGTCATTGTGTAAAGAAGGATATTAGGATTTAAATGGAAAAGAACAGAAAATAATAGAAACATTCTAATGAAAAAACATGATACACGTTAACCACGTATAAGTTTTTTGATTAAAATTTCCGAATATCGCATTTAGGGCCGGTCAGTGGTTTATACCGACGAAACATATATAGATACGACTCACACTTCTTTGAAATCTTATTTACATATTACAGTACTTGTGGTTGAAGAAAACAATTTCTAAAGGAAATCATTTAATATTCATTTCATGGCGGCGGAGAGGGTGGTTTCATACCAAATGCAATGCACTGCTGATGTTCAAAGCAAATCAAAAAAGTGGTGATTACCATACCATAACAATATGAATGCAGAAAACTACACGAAATGGTTACAAACGCAATGAATTTCAAATTTAAAACCCAATAGCGTTGTGGTGGTAGATAGAGATGAGACATACTTGCAAAATTTCATACCAGGGCTTCTAAGTACGAGTATGGAAAAATACCAGGGTCGAAAACCAGGTTTTATAAATACTGGAAAGTATTTGTTAATGTCAATATATATATGAATGCCTAATTTGATTCGGGCCAAAATTTATACTGTACCTTTTTAAATTTTTTTTTGGTAACGAAATGAAATCTTTCCTTCCTACTTTTCGGCTTTAATAAATAAAAGTTTTAAAACTGTCTCTAAATTCAATATACACGCGAAATAACTATTTAAAAATTAGGTCACGGTCAGTAGGTTACGTAATCAGTTCACAATAATAATTGAATTTACAAGAAATCGAAACAAAACTTTTACTTCCCCGAATATAAACATAATTCTTATTACTTACTAGCTACTTACGCGACGTGTCCAGCCGCGGTGTCAGTTTGAAAATACTTGCAAAGAGTATAGTAATATATAAGGAAGAATACTTGCATAGGAATTCGACCCGCTTTCCATGTTAGGCTATTATGACTAAGGAGCAAATTCGTATAAATAAAAAAAATACTTTCAAGTTCAAAGTATTTTTAATTCACAAATACGATCGAGTTTCTTATTACTATTGAGATATGGATCATTTTCCTATGCAAGTATTCTCATACTTGCAAGTATTTTTTGGTCGTAAAAGGGCGCCGTACTTTAAAGTTAAAACCTATACGTCTCATTGCGACGCGAGGGACGTGTCCAGCCGTGGTGTCAAAATTTGAAAATACTTGCATAGGAATTTCACCCGTATTCCATGTTATCCTACTATGAATAAGGAGCAAAGTCGTATAAATAAAAAAAATACTTTGAAGTACTAAGTATTTTTCGTTAACAAATACGATTGAGTTCCTTACTACTATTGAGATATGGATGATTTTCCTATGCAAGTATTTTCATACTTGCAAGTATTTTTTGCTCGTACCAGGGCGCCGTACTTTGAAGTGAATACCTGGTTTTAAAACCTGGTAGCGTAAATACGTCTCATCTTTAGTGGTAGACAATCTTACTACAATTCGTTAGAAAATACCGCCCCTAACTCAAATAGTCCTAAAAAAGATATGAATGACTGACTCAAGTATCCCAATATTGATTATTCTACATCGATGCTTAAACCACAACTCTATCAATTGATACTGCAAAACAAAAAAAATTATTGAATATAAAATTGACACTTTACTTAGAGAACATGGTCACAGCATCCTTCGTCTACCACCCGGATTTCAACCCAATTGAAAACATATGGGCAATGATAAAAGGATATGTGGTGAAAAAAAAAATACTGTACAAAAATGGAAAAAATCACGCAATAAAAGAAGAAAAAAGGTGGTCACGACGCCATTCTTGATGATATGATGGGACGATTAATTAATAACACAAACGACACACCAGACGAGAGTGAAAATGAAGGTGACAGTGATAATGAAAATGATGAAGATGTAATGATCGGTGTTTGAAGAATTGTTATAATTTTTTATATTTGAATTTTATTTATTGATCTCTGACTTCTCAGTCATTCTTACATATTATGTACATATACTTTTTTTGTCTGACTACTTTTGGGATCACTCACACAAATGCAAAGTTCAGCTTATGCCTCGCGGACTGCACTCTGTATGATTCTGGTACTTCCTCCGTCTAGCCCATTTTTGTTGAAGTCATAATATGCTGCGGTGTGGTTCTACGTATAGGAAGTTAAGGATGATGACGTGTATCGTTCGTGTGCAGTGCAGTACCGGTGGTGCGCGGAGGGGTCGCAGCTGGAGGGCGCGCGGCGCGTGGTGTGCGCGCGGTCGCGGCACGCGCTGCGGCTGCGCGTGGACTGGGCGCGCGTGGAGCGCCGCGCGCGCGCGCTCGCCGCCAGCGCGCTCGCCGCGCTCACCGTGCTCACCGGGCCCGAACTCACGCGCCGCAGGATACTGAGGTACGTGACACACGCGCTGCGGCTGCGCGTGGACTGGGCGCGCGTGGAGCGCCGCGCGCGCGCGCTCGCCGCCAGCGCGCTCGCCGCGCTCACCGTGCTCACCGGGCCCGAACTCACGCGCCGCAGGATACTGAGGTACGTGACACACGCGCTGCGGCTGCGCGTGGACTGGGCGCGCGTGGAGCGCCGCGCGCGCGCGCTCGCCGCCAGCGCGCTCGCCGCGCTCACCGTGCTCACCGGGCCCGAACTCACGCGCCGCAGGATACTGAGGTACGTGACACACGCGCTGCGGCTGCGCGTGGACTGGGCGCGCGTGGAGCGCCGCGCGCGCGCGCTCGCCGCCAGCGCGCTCGCCGCGCTCACCGTGCTCACCGGGCCCGAACTCACGCGCCGCAGGATACTGAGGTACGTGACACACGCGCTGCGGCTGCGCGTGGACTGGGCGCGCGTGGAGCGCCGCGCGCGCGCGCTCGCCGCCAGCGCGCTCGCCGCGCTCACCGTGCTCACCGGGCCCGAACTCACGCGCCGCAGGATACTGAGGTACGTGACACACGCGCTGCGGCTGCGCGTGGACTGGGCGCGCGTGGAGCGCCGCGCGCGCGCGCTCGCCGCCAGCGCGCTCGCCGCGCTCACCGTGCTCACCGGGCCCGAACTCACGCGCCGCAGGATACTGAGGTACGTGACACACGCGCTGCGGCTGCGCGTGGACTGGGCGCGCGTGGAGCGCCGCGCGCGCGCGCTCGCCGCCAGCGCGCTCGCCGCGCTCACCGTGCTCACCGGGCCCGAACTCACGCGCCGCAGGATACTGAGGTACGTGACACACGCGCTGCGGCTGCGCGTGGACTGGGCGCGCGTGGAGCGCCGCGCGCGCGCGCTCGCCGCCAGCGCGCTCGCCGCGCTCACCGTGCTCACCGGGCCCGAACTCACGCGCCGCAGGATACTGAGGTACGTGACACACGCGCTGCGGCTGCGCGTGGACTGGGCGCGCGTGGAGCGCCGCGCGCGCGCGCTCGCCGCCAGCGCGCTCGCCGCGCTCACCGTGCTCACCGGGCCCGAACTCACGCGCCGCAGGATACTGAGGTACGTGACACACGCGCTGCGGCTGCGCGTGGACTGGGCGCGCGTGGAGCGCCGCGCGCGCGCGCTCGCCGCCAGCGCGCTCGCCGCGCTCACCGTGCTCACCGGGCCCGAACTCACGCGCCGCAGGATACTGAGGTACGTGACACACGCGCTGCGGCTGCGCGTGGACTGGGCGCGCGTGGAGCGCCGCGCGCGCGCGCTCGCCGCCAGCGCGCTCGCCGCGCTCACCGTGCTCACCGGGCCCGAACTCACGCGCCGCAGGATACTGAGGTACGTGACACACGCGCTGCGGCTGCGCGTGGACTGGGCGCGCGTGGAGCGCCGCGCGCGCGCGCTCGCCGCCAGCGCGCTCGCCGCGCTCACCGTGCTCACCGGGCCCGAACTCACGCGCCGCAGGATACTGAGGTACGTGACACACGCGCTGCGGCTGCGCGTGGACTGGGCGCGCGTGGAGCGCCGCGCGCGCGCGCTCGCCGCCAGCGCGCTCGCCGCGCTCACCGTGCTCACCGGGCCCGAACTCACGCGCCGCAGGATACTGAGGTACGTGACACACGCGCTGCGGCTGCGCGTGGACTGGGCGCGCGTGGAGCGCCGCGCGCGCGCGCTCGCCGCCAGCGCGCTCGCCGCGCTCACCGTGCTCACCGGGCCCGAACTCACGCGCCGCAGGATACTGAGGTACGTGACACACGCGCTGCGGCTGCGCGTGGACTGGGCGCGCGTGGAGCGCCGCGCGCGCGCGCTCGCCGCCAGCGCGCTCGCCGCGCTCACCGTGCTCACCGGGCCCGAACTCACGCGCCGCAGGATACTGAGGTACGTGACACACGCGCTGCGGCTGCGCGTGGACTGGGCGCGCGTGGAGCGCCGCGCGCGCGCGCTCGCCGCCAGCGCGCTCGCCGCGCTCACCGTGCTCACCGGGCCCGAACTCACGCGCCGCAGGATACTGAGGTACGTGACACACGCGCTGCGGCTGCGCGTGGACTGGGCGCGCGTGGAGCGCCGCGCGCGCGCGCTCGCCGCCAGCGCGCTCGCCGCGCTCACCGTGCTCACCGGGCCCGAGCTCACGCGCCGCAGGATACTGAGGTACGTGACACACGCGCTGCGGCTGCGCGTGGACTGGGCGCGCGTGGAGCGCCGCGCGCGCGCGCTCGCCGCCAGCGCGCTCGCCGCGCTCACCGTGCTCACCGGGCCCGAACTCACGCGCCGCAGGATACTGAGGTACGTGACACACGCGCTGCGGCTGCGCGTGGACTGGGCGCGCGTGGAGCGCCGCGCGCGCGCGCTCGCCGCCAGCGCGCTCGCCGCGCTCACCGTGCTCACCGGGCCCGAGCTCACGCGCCGCAGGATACTGAGGTACGTGACACACGCGCTGCGGCTGCGCGTGGACTGGGCGCGCGTGGAGCGCCGCGCGCGCGCGCTCGCCGCCAGCGCGCTCGCCGCGCTCACCGTGCTCACCGGGCCCGAACTCACGCGCCGCAGGATACTGAGGTACGTGACACACGCGCTGCGGCTGCGCGTGGACTGGGCGCGCGTGGAGCGCCGCGCGCGCGCGCTCGCCGCCAGCGCGCTCGCCGCGCTCACCGTGCTCACCGGGCCCGAACTCACGCGCCGCAGGATACTGAGGTACGTGACACACGCGCTGCGGCTGCGCGTGGACTGGGCGCGCGTGGAGCGCCGCGCGCGCGCGCTCGCCGCCAGCGCGCTCGCCGCGCTCACCGTGCTCACCGGGCCCGAGCTCACGCGCCGCAGGATACTGAGGTACGTGACACACGCGCTGCGGCTGCGCGTGGACTGGGCGCGCGTGGAGCGCCGCGCGCGCGCGCTCGCCGCCAGCGCGCTCGCCGCGCTCACCGTGCTCACCGGGCCCGAACTCACGCGCCGCAGGATACTGAGGTACGTGACACACGCGCTGCGGCTGCGCGTGGACTGGGCGCGCGTGGAGCGCCGCGCGCGCGCGCTCGCCGCCAGCGCGCTCGCCGCGCTCACCGTGCTCACCGGGCCCGAACTCACGCGCCGCAGGATACTGAGGTACGTGACACACGCGCTGCGGCTGCGCGTGGACTGGGCGCGCGTGGAGCGCCGCGCGCGCGCGCTCGCCGCCAGCGCGCTCGCCGCGCTCACCGTGCTCACCGGGCCCGAACTCACGCGCCGCAGGATACTGAGGTACGTGACACACGCGCTGCGGCTGCGCGTGGACTGGGCGCGCGTGGAGCGCCGCGCGCGCGCGCTCGCCGCCAGCGCGCTCGCCGCGCTCACCGTGCTCACCGGGCCCGAACTCACGCGCCGCAGGATACTGAGGTACGTGACACACGCGCTGCGGCTGCGCGTGGACTGGGGTACGTGACACCACCCGCGCAGTCCACTTGCTCCACGGCTGTGCTCGCTATCTCGAATTCATGCGTTGCAGGGTACTAAGGTACGCGGCTCCACGCACGCAGCTCACTTACCCCATAACTGCTTTCGCCGTACGTGCCTTGCTCGCCGCTCTTAGCTTACGTATCGCAGGTCTATGGTACGCGACTCTACGCATACAACGCAGTTGTCCCATAACCGCTATGCCGTACACGAAATGCTCATCGCTCCGAACTAACGCATCGCAGAATACTAAGGTGAGCGACTCCACGCGCACAGACCACTTACTACATAACCACTGTCGATGTACGTACCGTGCTCGCCGCTCCGAGTTCGCGCGTCGCAGGTAAGTAAGACTGAATGATCGAGTGCGAAATTTTGTAATAAGAGAAAAAAGTATGAAAGCCTTTGAGAGATTATGACACATCTTCTCGTAACGTATTCCTCAAAACTTGAAAAGAAAAGTGTCAAGCCAATGCTCTGAGATGTGGTCCTTTACTGCTGGTTGTATAAGGAAGCTCATGATCACTTAGCGTGCTATGAGGAGGGTTATATTCGAAGTTTCCTGCCTGATTAAATTCGAAATGAGGATATCCATAGTAGAATCAGAGCAACCAACATAGTCAAACGGCTGAGTAGGCCGAAGCGACAATAGGCATGGACCTAATACAGCATGGCATTCCTTAGGGGAGGCCTATGTTTAGCAGTGGACTTTGATGTTCTGTAATGATAATGATAAATGATAATAATGATAATGATAGCATAAAACAAAATTAGATATTTTACTAATGAATTATTCGTGAATAGATATGCAATAGGCGTTATTAACAGCATGTGTCAGTATTCAAAACCATTTGATGAAACTATATTGCTTACAGAATCATTAGAAATAAATCAACTGGGGAGCTGGATACTTCCCTATTACCAGACCATCTGAAAATTTTGGCAGAAGAATTTGAAGGTCAAGAAATTGTCTCAGATGAATGCTTGAAGGACTTCGAGGAAACAACAGTAAGTTAATTAAATTAAACTAATTATCATATCACAATCACATAATTATTTTACTTTTAGGTATTTTACATCTGGCATAAACAAGATGGTTATACTATTTATTTAGTATAGTTTTATTTTATATATTGCTATAGTCTCCTTTTACGACACTCCAGGGATGAAATGTGGTGATGGATTATTTTTCACCATCACCACACTGCTCATATCAAATATCATTAGTAGTTCATTGATTACATTATTCATAATAATAGATTAGATTATTAGATTAAATTATTCATCTTAAATAATATTGATTACATTGGATTAAATTATTCATATTAGATTAGATTATTCATAAATTATTAGATCAACATTATTAGTCGTTGTGTTTATTACATGTCATGTAATACAGTCAACCGGACATGATCTCCGAAACTCGACAGTAAATACATCAGTAGAATAAAATGTATGTTCAGTTAGAAAGTGGAACAATTTATCTTTGAAAATCTGTATACCGTTACACACTTATAGTATTCGGGATCTTATTGTATATTTTTGGAGCCATACCAAACACACTTTTTCCATACAGGGTAGTTTTATATTTTCTACCAAAGTTAATATATAATCTGCTTCTATTGCGAAATCTCGAAATCTCTAGTTTAAATAGTGATGTATATTGTCTGATAAATAAAGCCATTTCAATTGTATGGTATGGTAAGTAATTTTAATTTCATGAAAATTAGTTATTTTTAAACTACACAGCATGGTGTATCCGTGCTATGTGTGGTTTGCTACATTTCTTGATTCCAAGACAGAACCATTTTGGTCGAATTTTTGTCTTATTTTTAATTTTTAGTATAGGAGTATAGGACAGCATAAGTTATAAAATAATCTAAATAAATTATAAAAACAGTGAAAACTTCGTTTGCTTCATTTATTTCAAAAAATTCACTGAATTTGAGCTCATTAATGCACTTGTTCGCGCCAAACGCTAATTTCAAGAATTAACGCGAGAGGGCGCTCGGCGCGGTGCATTCGTACCGGTTTGACGTTCGCGCGAGAGAGTTATTTTCTACCGGCGGCGGGGTCGAGTCGAACAGTTGCTATAATACTGTGCGATCGAGAGCACGTTTAAGGACGCTCGGGAAACCTCCATTTTGGAGTCGGTTTTGTTAGCAGACGTTGCCACGACGAAAGTTTCTTTGTTAAGTCTAGAATTCGACGCCGGGCTGACAAATTGTTAGACATTGACTGCGATCAAAGTCTGAATTGCGTGTTAGGCGCGCCTAATTTACCGCGAATTTGGTTATTCTAATTTGATAGCGTATATAAGTGATTTGACAATATTTAATTGCTCGTGCGTTGTGTTACGTTTTTGCTTATAGTAACGGGATTTTGTACAGACCGACATTCTGTATTTGTTTTGGGTGTTACGCTTTATAACAAATTAGAGTTAGTGGCTTCTGTAAGTTAGTTAATCGTACGATAGAGTTAATGGACTGTCATCGTGACGAACGAAGAAAGTGACTGTGGACGGCGCCGCGGAAGATTACCTCATTTTGGAGCAGCCTGGAACTCGGCCGCTGCTGCTCGCCTATGCTTGCCAAGGCCCCGCACATTCACACATCACTGTACACTACTCGCCATCCACTATTACACACACTCACGGCCTGCCCAAGCCTTAGTACGAAGTTAGCTTCGGAGAATGGTAAGTACTATGTGTTTCTAGCTTTCTTTCATATTGTTTATTGTAATTAACATATTCCACGTGGCCATATCCTGGCCCCGTCCCTCTGCTGCCCGTCGATGGGATTACTCATGGGCCCTAATCCCGTCAACCTTGGTTGGGGCAGCTAGGGGCGTGTACAGCACTTTAAACTTTCTCAAATTACACTCTGAATAATCACGTTTATATGAGAACCAGTAGTCAAATAAACAGGTCTTTTTTATAGGACAGCATAAATATCGGGTTTTATGGTCGGACAAACCTAATTCCAAAAGATCAGATATATAGTAAGACTATGGTAGATTTCATTACTCCATTTTGGCCCATACACGACGTAATAAAGAAATAAAGAGTGCCTCGTCTTGAGTTTTTCATTATTTATATATTTGAACTTAAATAAATTTGAAATTGAAAAATTACAGTGTATATAAAATATAATATATAGGGTTATTTTGCAATAACCGGCCAAATTTGCAGAGAAGGATCAGAATAAATAATATAGGCAAATGTTGAATAAAAATTAGTTAAAAAAATCTCTATAGATCTGTCCTTTTTATCTTTTGCATTCAAAATGCGTGGTAATGCATTATTTTAACTGATTTAACTGCGCACGCACACATTCGTAAGGGTCGATCGGTAGGCAAAAACGTTGTTGCCCATAAATCACATTCAATTTCAAATAAAAGTAGAAGTCTTATTTACTCGTATTTTCAAAAACTGCAATAACGGTATATCATTATTTATATATTTGACCTTAAATTTAAAATATGGCTACTCCTTGAAAAATAACACTGTATAGATATTACCCCTTCATTTATGTAATATGAAATAGGTACACCGTAGTAACAAGACGACTAAATGGCGATTAACCCTCTCCATGAATATTGCTATCAACGTTCGGCCACCGATCGGCCTATGTATCCAACTTACTACTACTGCCTAGCTCTCCAACTAACGGGCATCTGAGTCTGCATAGAGCCTACCTTATGTAGTAAAAGGAACATAAAAATATCTTTTCAAGTTTAAATAATTAAAACTTAAATATTTGTTCCAGTCATCACTGAACGAGCTCATTGAAAGTCTGCAAGAACTGAACGCTCAAATTGACTTACCTCAAGATTTTGCAGACGAGAATACCATTATAATAAGCGACGACACTGTACTAGAGCATCATACACTTTGTGATTGAATTGTTTGTATATCTATTTAGTACGAAGTATTCTTTGTTTTAAGTTCTCTTACATTCCCTTATCATGTGAGTGAAATTTGTGTTACTTGATTTTATTAAGTATTAATTTAAGTGGTTTTGTTCTGATGAATCTATTAACGAAGGTGCCTTTAAAACTTAATTACAACTGTGATCAATAATAAAAAACCTTGTATTATTTTAGCATAATCATTTTTCTTCAAAATTAAAAATGTTTAATATAATAAAATGTAGTCATTATGATCTTAATATTGTATATCTATTGTTAAAATACCATATATAATAAAAATGTGAGAAGGTAAGAATTTTTGAACTTATTTTTTTTAATATTATACAAATAAGAAAAAAATGGAGCATGACAAAAGTTATTCCTAATAAACTTTTATATTATTATTTTAACAGTATTTTTTTAAAGATATTAATGTCAGTTTTATACAAACTAGATTATAGTTTGTATAAAACTGATTTTAATATCTTTTTATTAACTACAAAATAATTGTCCGTCCGTAATGCACTATATAAATGTCGGTATGCTTGTTGATAAAATGAAGTATAAGAGCGGTGGTATTTTATCTGTGTCGCCAGTTTTGTAAAGGAAGTGCTTTTTTATAAATATTTCTAACTGTATACAAATAAAGTAAATCAAAATATTATTTTATTTTTTTGGTTTCTTCATCTTCTCTAACCATGAAACATATAATGAGGAGCTGCTAAGCAACAGCTGTTAACTACATCATATTGGTGCACTGAACCTTGTTCAATTTGTTGGATGGGTACTTCCCATGCACACCTCGCTAAACTTCCGGTTTACTACGCGGAGTGTATTTTACATAATTTAGGCGCACATTTATAACTTATTTATCGTCATCATCATTTCCTCGCCTCTATCAACAGTTTACTAACCGTATAAAATTCGACAAAATTTTGTTAGTATTATATCTCTCAATTTAATCGTTGACATAATTTAAAATTAAAAATTTTGTACAGCCGACTTCAATATAAGTTATTTAAGAATAACTTAAAAACTATTGGTCTGACCTTGATCAAATTCATATGGGACCACACGAGAAGTACCAGCTTTCAAATAAAAAAAGAATCATCGAAATCGGTTCACCCAGAAAAAAGTTCTGAGGTAACACACATAAAAAAAAAAACGAAAAAAAAAACATACAGTCGAATTGAGTACCGGCTCCTTTTTGGAAGTCGGCAGAAAATGTCATTTTATATATTGTGATATGTAAGGTAGTCAATTCTAAAAGTTTTCTGTAACTGCGAATCTTATCTGCATCCGGCGTTAATCTGCTGTCTGGCGAATGAGGCTATGGCTAACATTATTTAGTCTGTCACTTAGCGACTGAGGGCAAAAATTTGCTGATGAATTATGTTCTTCATCACATCCTGGTGACAGGGACAGGGAGCAGCATGCGTCAACAAGCACTGGTGCTACGCTCATCAATCTCAAACCTCATTGTCAATCACATGTTAAATTAACGCTTAAAATTGAGTGGCATGATCTCTGCCAGCCCCAAATCTAATATGGGTCGATCCTTATATATAATTTGTTAAGTATATAATAGTGTAAGGAAAGTACAGAACGACATTCCGTCTTATTGTAAATAGGAAATCCAGTGTTTCAATAAAGATATCTTGGAAAATATTTTTTTTTATAGGAAAACGAGCATGCGGCTCACCTGATGGTAAGTGACTACCTCAGCCCATGAACAACTGCAACACCAGGGAGGGAATTGCTTTTAAAAAGGAGTACGCTCTTTTCTTGAAGGTCCCTAAGTCGTATCGGTCCGGAAAAATCGCTGATGGTAATCGATTCCACAAGGAAGTCGTGCGAGGAAAAAAACATCTTCTAAATCGCACAGTGGTGGACCGCCAATCATCCAGATGGTGTGGATGGTATCGGGAGTTCTGCCGCGATGTGCGTTCGTGAAATTTGGCGGCTGGGATTAATTCGAACAATTCCTCAGAGCACTCCCCATGGTAGATGCGAAAGAAAATGCAAAGGGATGCAACATCTCTTCGCAGTGCCAATGAATCGAGCCGATCGGAAAGGGCTCGGTCGTCGACGATTCGAGCCGCTCTGCGCTGGATGCGGTCAAGTGGAAGGAGCTGGCACTGGGGAGCCCCTGCCCAGAGATGGGAACAGTATTCCATGTGAGGCCGAACCTGCGCCTTGTAAAGTTGCAGGCGGTGTGCCGGCATGAAATACTGTACCGATCTGCTGAGCACGCCAAGCTTTTTAGAGTCCAATTTGGCCTTCTCTTCCAAGTGAACACGAAACTGCACGTCACTCGATATGTCGACTCCGAGGATACCGATACTGGCTGAGGCAAGAAGGGGAGTGCCTTGAAACTGAGGAGATACGACAAAGGGGTTCTTATTAGCGGTAAACGCGCAAACTTGTGTCTTCTGAGGATTAAACTGGACTAGATTTAGTCGCCCCCAATCCGAGACTTTGTCCAGCAAAGACTCGACTTCAGACACAAGTTTGTTCCGGTACTCAGTGACGTTTTCCCGAGAAATATTGGCACGGCCGGTGTATAGAGCATCACCAGTGCTGTCATCCGCATAGCAATGAATGTTACCAGTTAGTAACACACAGACTTGTGGAACACCAGCGTTAATAGGCTTGTAGTCAGAAGATGCACCGTCTACAACGACCTTGATGCTCCGATCTGCAAGGAAGCTGGTGATCCAATTGCACAATTTCTCGGGAAGCCCATAGGAAGGGAGCTTCGAAAGAAGCGCTTTGTGCCAAACCCGATCGAAGGCCTTCGCAATGTCCAGACTAACGGCCAACGCCTCCCCCTTGGACTCTACTGCCTCCGCCCATCTATGGGTCAGGTAGACCAGAAGATCACCAGCTGATCGACCCCGACGAAAACCGTATTGGCGGTCACTAATCAGCTGATGATCCTCAAGGTACCGCATGAGCTGGCAGTTAATAATGGATTCCATTATTATGGAGAACAAGGAGGTGATGGCGATAGGCCTATAGTTGGACGGGTCTGAGCGGGATCGGGTGGATAAAAGCTGTCTTCCATGAATTCGGGACTACGCCTTGGGAGTAGGAGTACCGGAAAAAACGCGTTGAAACCGGTGCCGACTCCGGAGTACACGTCCTCGGCACAATTGAGGGGATTCCATCAGGCCCACTCGACTTCTGGATGTCCAGAGAGAAGAGTGCTTTGCGAATCGAGCGCTGTGAGAACAGCACATCCGGCATGGAGCACTCATACCGCGGGATGGTCGGCGGCGTTTTTCCCCCGTCATCAAGAGTCGAGTTGGACCCAAAAAGGGAGCCTAAAAGGTCGGCTTTGTCTTTTGCGGCATGAGCCAGTGAGTCGTCCTCCCTGTGCAGAGATGGTAGTGATGGCTTACAGAAATTCCCTTGGACAGCCTTGGCGAGATACCAGAATGCACGGGTTCCCGAAGGAAGGCGAACTAGTTTCTCGCCAATTCTGCCTATGTGCTCTGACTTTACTTAACTCTTTTGAAGGACCTGGAGGCGAAGTTATACTTCTTTTTAAGTGTGCTAGTGTTTACATCCCGAGTCGCCGAAGCCGCAGTCCAGGCTTGATAACACTTCTGCTTACTGCGTAATGCAGTCTTACAGGAGCGACCAAACCAAGGCTGAGATCTGCCTCCGATGGGTACCACAGATGATGGAATAAATAGTTCCATTCCCTGTAGCACCACATCAGTGACAGAGTCAGCAACAGCGCTGGGATCATCCGGCGAGAAGCCCGTCCCCATGGGTAGGATGCAAAGAAAGACCGCATTCCGTCCCAATCCGCTGACCTGTAATGCCAAACACAGCGGCAACCTGCAGAACGCAACCGCAAGGGGAGCGTGAGTGGCACCACACTCCGGATCTGACAAGGTCCGAAGAGCCGAGAGGGACATCAACGGAAACCTGATAACCGTCCGGATAAGAGGTCAGCAGAAGGTCCAACAGGGAAGGTATATGATCCCCCACATCTGGAATCCGCGTAGGCGAAGTGACCAGTTGTGTCAGACCATATGCCAAGGCAGTCATAAACAAATCTCCCCGCATGATCGGTTAAACGTGAACCGAGCCATTCGGCGTGGTGGGCGTTAAAATCGCCAAGGATCACGATCTCTGCGGATGGGACCTGTTGTAACAAGGAATCTGTAGCCATTTGGACGTGGTCGATGAGTCGGTCTGTTTCTATGGGACCTATAAAGGCACCCGTAGGGGCGCGAATGTTCGTCGCTATCTACGCGTAGCCAAAGGATGGACAGGTCCAAACCTTCAAGAGTGCCGAGGCGTCGAGAACAGATGTCCTCTCTGACATACACCACGCAAACTCCAGCCCGAGGCATAAAGGAGTGCTCCAATTTGTACCCAGGGCAGGAAAGATACGAAGTATCAGCCGGAGAGGCCACCTGCGTCTCTGTCAGAAAGAGCAAGACCGGCTTCGCCGTCTCGAGATGGTTGGTAGTGGACGGCGTTTAGGTTCGAGTGAAGTCCCCTGATGTTGCAGAAATTCACGGATAGCGTGGCAGGGGTCGCCTTGGTATTGTTGCTCAGTTTGCCCCGAGCAGTTATGTTTTTGAGCCGAATTTTGCCCCCCCCCCCCCCCAGAATACGCGGGGCAGCCTGAGCACCCACGCTCAGGAATGGAATAACATGGTCGTGGATGCTCAGCGAGGGATTCTCCAGGGGTGCTGGTACCCTCCTGGGGTAGTCTTTCGTGTAATTCCGCTACCATGTTGAGGGGGGGGGGGGGGGGAATTGGGCCTCCGGCCACCTGCACTCACCAAGCGGAACGCAGAGGTAAACCTCTACTCCACGTTGGTACTCTGTGAGGTCGTGGTACCACCCCGGTTCTAGCCGGCCCATCCGTGCGACAGCAAAAGCTGCCGCGTGGCTCTACCACTGTTAATAAATATATGTTTCTGTTTCAGTAGTGCTTCTGAGTTACAAACAGTTGTCAGTCGTTTATATCTTATCATCATCATCATTATCATTACAGCCCTTCACAAGTCCTCTGCTGAACACAGGCCTCCCCCAAGGAATGCCACAAAGCACGGTCCTGAGCCACCTGCATTCATCGACTTCTTGCATGTTTTTCCAGGTCGTCACTCCATCTAGTAGGAGGTCGCCCTACGCTTCACCT